TTTGTGAGGGTGAAAATATGCAAGTAATTTATTAATCATAATTAACGTTCATTCTTTATTTGAATAAATAACAAGTTCCCTTTATTATAAATATGAAGACAGATATGATCTTATCGTAAATAGTTATACACTAGTTGAGGGTGAGAGCGACTGCGTACGTCACATCTGTAGGCAAATGTGTATCAATGCGCCACTGTAAAATAAAAATATGATTTAAATTAATATCTGCTGCTCCTAACATGACTAGATAAACACTCATGGCGCTCATGATAGAATAAAGGCCAAGTCAGGCCTTAAAACCGTGTTGAAAATTTTAGATTGCAGACGAAAAAAAATCCATCGTGGAATTTCAAGGTTATATAAGCATTCACACAGTCTGTATGAGTGGCTTCTTGTCCTAACTAGTCTTCTAAATGATTGCCTACAGATGTGACACCCGCTTGCAATCAATAAAGAAATAGTTGCGTACAAAACCAGTACAAAATGACAAGTTAAGAATGATTAATAAAGCCGATTATTATTAATCACTCTTCCGTTGTATTAATAATAGGCAATAATCGGGCCTTGTTAAAACGTAGTAATCGCCTCATGCAAACTCTATAGGAGTCACTGCGTGTTAGCCTCTTGCCTCCTGCGTCGCCCTCGACTGAGCAGGTCTCGGATATCTTTCGCTGAGGCTAGCACAGTACCGGCCAACCCCCGCAAATCACTAATCGCCAAATCAAAAGTGCCACCGCCGTTTCCCGCACGCGACGAGCGACCAGTGCACTCTCGGAGGCAAACCCCTCGCAAGATTGCTGAGGGAATATGGGATCAAACGCGGAATACCTGCGCCGTTAATTTGCATGAGGACTTCAGGTGATGTAGCTACCGCGTGCTAGGGTGATTCGACCCCCGCCGCCTGCAGCTCTTCGATCGGGGATTGCATAAAGCTTATCGTTGTTTGCTTCGTGCGATGCACTCCGCTACGCGACCGAATGAAGCTACCGCGTGATCGATACCGACCGTACAGTACGCATGCGCCTTTGCACCGCCCTCTAGTGGCTCCAGTATCGTCCCATTATGTTATACACGCAGCTAATGGCTAACATGAGCAAGTTGTTATTAAGAAAAGCAGGTTATCAAAAAGTCAATACAGAAAAAGAGCACAGTTGTGCACGCACAAACAGTCGATTGTGATTGTTAATAAACTCTGAAAATTCAAATATAATTAATATACATTGGCACGCATTGGCTTCTGTTCCACTCCTGCATTGTACACGTCAATATGAGTGTCCTCTCTCATTCTCTGCCCTCATTCTGCAGTGCTGTGTGAGCTGTGGGGTCATAGGTGAGCCATCAGTTCCCTCCCGTAGCTCACCTAAACTAATCAAAAAGACATTGTTTTATACCTTTGTGTGCGAGACTTCTTTAGATCATCGTCTTCACCTTACTGACCATACAAACAAACATCGCCTCATCTAAATGCTGCCTTTTCATTTTTTCAATTTTTATTAAAATACGAATGCTTTTCCTTAACTCTGAATAGCCGGGTATTATAACTAGATGCCAGTTACAACATTACGGTGTTGCCAATTTGGTGCAACAACAATCCAACCAACTGGCGTGCGTCTTCATAAAGCGAAGAAGGACACCGAGAATGTTTCTTATAGTCAAACGTTAGCAAACCTTGCATGTTTGCTGCAGGTGTAGTACAAACTCGGGAATTGCGACCGGCTAGCACCTTAGGTATAAGGTCGACCCGGTGTGCAGGGTTAGCTCCCATGCAACTAGACATGACTTGTCTATAGATTGTTGTCATCTCGTGCTATCTGTTATCTGATAGGCGTCATGGCACCACATAGCGTTGACAAGAATGATGCCACTCCACCTCTTCCGGGGACGTTTCATTCGCCCTGCTGCTCTTAAGTCCCTCGCTGTACCCCCACACCCGTTTTGTTACGCTGTGTACTAAAACACAGGATATGTTTGATCGTTAGCATTTGAGTTACATATGTGGGAGCGTTGATGGCGTCTCGTTCGTGGCTTCCTACGCGACAGCCGATGCTCGGTGGGTGTACATAAGCATCGTCAGGGGGTCGCCTCGTAACACATTACTGCCTTACTGCCTCTCACAGGGCTGTGACATCTATCCGGCCACTTTGAAAGAGTGAATCGTATAGACAAGTGGCCACACACGCGTGTACACGGCACATCGCACGCTCGATACACACCTACCATGAACCGTCTTAGCAATGACAATGAAAACCAATCGGGTTTTTTTACAAAAGAGTTGCTGGCAACGTTAGAATACCGTGCCGTTACCCGTTAAGTTTCGTGAAAACCCAAAGAACAGATACATGCAGGGTAACAATTCCAAAAAACGAACTCATGGAAATGCATCTCAGTTTGCCTATAAAAACACGGCTGCGTGAGAATCCCTGAAGATTATAAAAGGGGAATAAGTTGAGAAATAAGTCCTATTGAGGCAGGTTTTGTGAATAGTAAAAAGTGTTACAATAAGAAGAGAAAGTAGGTGAATACAACATTAAGAAGTCTAAATACGTAACCGATAACAGTGCTAGGTTATAGTTAGTACGACCCTACAAAGCTTTCCTGCTGGAACCTCAGACAGCATGGAAGCGAGTTTAGGGCAGTGCTTTTTAAGATAGAGCTACTATCCCGTAGTAGAAAGCACCGCCCTCTCAGGTGCAGAGAATAACTGAAGCTAGTTGCAATTAAAACCTAGAGAGATGAAAGAATCGTATATAAATATCGAAACGGAATAAGGACAGGAGCTATAGATGGACGATAAAGTACCTATACGTTGGTGGGGGTAAAAGATTATAGAATAGGGTCTGCACCTGAAGAAATAAAAAAAACAATACAGCAGAATGGCGTAATTGAGGTTCTACATGTAAATATCTCTGTTCTGCTCCCAATTCATACTTTATTCTACCAATTCATAAAATAAAATCAACGTGTTCAACCTATACATGTGTGACCACAGCACGGTGTTCTACAAGTAGAAAGAAATAACCAAAAACACAGACATCTATTCTACCATGTAACACAGGCAGTAAAACTGAAGAAGTAGAAAGCCAAGCAATCGATTTCAAGCGGGTGGTAGATTTCCTCTTGACACAGAAAGTGCGATACGTCACCACTTCTGTAACGCGTTTCTGTAAAATATGGCAAACCATTTAATCCTGTTGTATTCAACAACGTCCACTAATGGCCATTTGACCCCATGGCAGAACCGAACGATAATATCTAGCGCGAACTAGACTCAGGCTTGTAGGCCTACATTCTCTTTATAGTGGTCATTAGGGGACGACGTCCAACAGAAGAAGGCTACGAATCAGATTTGGTATGTAGGATACAAATTTTCACCTACGTGTATTACACAACTACCACTTTCGAATTTCGTGTGTCTGGGCGCACCAGCAATTTGTCTGTGCACGCGCGCGTTAGCGCCCTGCCGGAGGTGGCAAATCGTGGCTAATTGGATAAGATCACAGTCTAAAGCTGCCCGTAACGATCAGCCTCGTGGGTGTCCGTCTTCCTAGTCGCCATCTCACAAAGCCCAGCTGTCGGTGCCGACACGACTTCGGTAGCACTCGTCTGTGATCGGCGGTCAGTAGCGATGTCGGCTTGCCTCGTCGACGAGGCCATCGGTTACCGCTGCGTGGCCCGTCCTCGATCCGTCACCTAGTGCACTCTGGCGGAGGAAACTGCGATGCCGTTGACGATTATTTCGTGATCAAATCGAAGAATAGATAGCCTAGGGTGGCGTTGATGCAGAGTATCAGCAGACCCAGTCGTCGATGGTAGACCCAGTTCTGAAGGAAGAAGGACGAGAGACAAATGAGAAATTCAATTATAACGAGAAAATTCTCCTGAGAATGCCATCGCCCACGCCAGCAACCAATGGCGCGCTGCTTGAACTCGCAACGAACGCAACTGCATTTTATGAAAGATGGTTTTTAGGTCGCTCTTAAAAACTACGTGTGGATTTTACGAAACCAAAATTCCCAAATTACCGCAACGGCGCTATTCGAATGCCTCGTAAAATTGTCTAGAGCGGCAAGCCAGATGCGCTGGTTTAATTCTAAATTTGCTAGTCTGGGTTTTTCGAAGATTAATAATCACGGTAGCAATAATAGACGCGGGGTGCACTGTATATCTAAAGCGAATATACGCGTGCAAGTTCGTCGGGGGATGTTGCTGTTGGTATTGTGGTGTTCACTAATAGCATTCCACCTCATCTATTTTTGCCCCACGTCCTAGCCAAAGATGCTCGAGGAAAAACTAACGAAATTTGTTCTATACCTGCTCGAAACTGCGAATTCACTTAATCTAATCAATCACTGCAACTACTTGCATTCGAAATGGGTCCTTGTCTGTGAATTTTCGCCGAAGAAAGCATTTGGGATTTAGCGCGCGCAGAACGATTCGACAAGGAATCGTTGGGCCAGTGCTTTTAGAATCTCAATCGAAAGGAGTATAAATATAGTTACTCCTTCCAGATCTCAGTGATACAATTTTTAGAAATCGACTATATTGAGCCGCGAAGCACTGGTATTGGATACCCTACTCACGCGTACACACGCTCGGGCACGCATATACATACATACACACACATGCGCGAACACACACACGCGCGAACACACACACGCGCGAACATGGAATGAGGGGAGTATGGAAGGAATGGGATGGGAAGGGATGGGAGGGGAGGGGAGCGCATGCACGTACACACCACCGCGTGAATGAAGATCTCAGAATATATGTAAATATATTCGCGTGGTTTCTGAAGAACGCTCTAGTACGGTGGTTCGTGTCTAGGCAAGCCGACAGTGTTACTAGAAAAAAACTTTCACGGGTCCTTCGACTTTTGATGTCAATGCTGTTACCTGTAGACTAGAATTCTGGCATATCGGTGTAACGTACGTAATAGAAAAACGAAGGTTACGTACTCAAAAACTTCTCAAATATTATATAATATATAATACTAGACTTGATTTTTGGACCCAACATATTATGTCGGGTCCAAAAATGAAGGCTAGTATTAGACTACCAGTCTGCTACGCTATTTCAGTCACTGCTAATCGAATCTACGTAATGTTCACTTAAATCATTGAATAAATTGATATCCGAATATTTGCTACATATCTTAATTATTCGATGAGTGAAATAATCGGGAAATACGAAACGCAGTTGAATACTTGTCATCAGTCATGTACCTAACTATAACTTTCACATTAATCATTTAAGTGACATAATTTCATAATGATTGTGCGAATTGACATTTTCGGTTTTTCGGTAAAGCAATGTTATAACTATTTTCACCCGCGGGTGGTTAGTTAGTCAATTAGTCGGATTACGAATACTGTTGCCGCTGGGTTTTACGCGATCCTTAAACCATACTCGTGGATTTTGATTATCAAGGAAAGGGACGTCAGAGGAGAGGAGCGCGTACATTGTGACGCGAGCCACGGGTAAGCTCCTTAGCCTGGCGACGAAAATGCCAAGACCGACGTCACTCTTGGAATCGCATTGGTGCGGATATCCCCCCCCCCACCACACACACAATTAGGCCTACACACACGCGCGCGCGCACGCACGCACACACGCACACACACACACATCTTCCTATCTGTCAACTCTGACTCGACTGCCGTCGTCAAAACCAACGGGCGGTGCGCGTGAAACAAAATAAGCATGCAGCCACGTGCCAAAAACAACGTTCCAACGCGAACCATGTAGGCCTACTCGGCAGCGGAGACGTTCGGAGCGAGCTAAGCGACTAGCATCGGTACAGCAGACGACACGCGCACGCACACACCAGTACGCACGCACACACCAGTACGCACGCACACACCAGTACGCACGCACACACCAGTACGCACGCACACACCAGTACGCACGCCAGCGTCGCCAGCTCAACCCGGAGGCGGGCCGCCGTGGGAAATGACAGCTGCCGCCACCTGGCGGACATTCGCTGTAGCGGTTATCGATCAGCACGTTATATGCGGTGTGTGACGACCAAGCGCCGCTCACCGCTGCCAACGATGCTCTGGAGACTGTTGGCTCCGGCAAAAACGCATTCCAATATCGAAGATGCAGCTCGTTATAACAAATTGAGTGTCGCTGCGCGCGGACGCAACTGTCTAATCAAGTGGTTGTCGCGGAAACGCTGATGAATGTTCGCGAACGTCTAGTCGATTATGAAGCGACGCTACATTCTATCTAACAGAGGTGCATGTTTTTTTTTTATCCTCGACTACAGCTAGCTAGCAAACATGCTTACATAAGTAGCGCCTTGAAATTAATTCAATTCGATGCCTAGGAAGAAGATGGTGTGGAGGAGAACCGTTAAAGAGAAAATAAATTCGGATATTTGGAGAGGTTCCCACTCTGCACATCGCGAGGTGAGTGGCGAGCTTTAGAGATCAGACGTAAGTTTGCACACAGCTCGAGGGCCTAGCGCGCATACATACTCACCCTCACACTGGATCTAAACAGGAAGAAAGTTTGCGCGTCTTTCTCCTCAAAGGCCCTCTCCATCCTGACCTCCTCCCTCCGTAAGGCACTTAAGACGGAAATCTCCTCCCGCGTCAGGGCCGGCTTTCGCGCGACAACAAAGTCGTTCTCGTCGGGAAGACTCTTGCGGCGCCGCCTGCTGGTCGTCTGCTGCGGCTCGATGACGATGTGCGTCGGAAGCTTGTCGGCGTCGCTCGGCGTGTGCACGACGGCCTTGATGCGCTTGCGATGGCCCTCGTCTATCACATACGCCTGCTTGCGCGTCGCCAGCACCGTGTCGTCCGCAGTCCTGCGGAGCCGCGACGACCCACGGTTCGTCTTCGGCGACGACGACGACGACGCCGCAGCCGCCGTCGTCGGCGTCGCAGTCATCGGCGGACCGATCAGGTCCGGGTTCATGATCGACGGCAGCGTTTTCCTGCGTTCCTCCTTGACGTCTTTGAGCGGGCGGCTGGAGAAGGCGTCCTCGGAGGCGTCGGAGACGCCCGACACGCCCGAGTCCGGCGTCCAGTCCGACTTGTTGGGCGTCGCGAAGCGCGGGTCGTGCGCGACGGCGTGGATGTGGTTGGGGCGCATCTGCGGCGCGGTGTCCATGTTGTCACCGTGCGGCACTCTCTGCTCGCGCCGATCGTCGTTGTAGCGGTCGTACCTGCCGCCGCCGCCGCCTCCGCCGCCGCTCTTCGGGTACGGCTGTTCGGTGCTGTACGCCCGCGCCAGGTAGGCGCGCTCGGGCTCGCGCTGGCGCTTGTCGGCGTAGTCGATCGTGTGCGCCCTGTTGCTCAGGTAGGGCCTGTCGGGCCGGCCGTAGCCCTCATCGCGTCGGTCGTCGCGTCGGTCGTCGCGTCTGTCGTCGCGTGGGTACCTCTCGTCCGAGTAGCGTCCGCGTTCGTACGGACGCTCGTAGTCATCGTAGTCGCGATCGTAATACTTGTCGTAGCCGCTGCGCTCCTTGTTCTGCGGCTGCCGCTTGAAGGCGTAGCGGTCGCGATCGTAGCTGCCTCTGTCGTCGTACTCTCGTCTGTCCGAATCGCGCTTGTCTCCGTAGGAGTCTGGCCGCGAGTAATCAATCCTGTTTTGATCGGGCGTTCGTTTGCTGCTGTAAGGGTCAGACGACGTGTACTCTATTCTGCTGTGGTCAGGCATTGGTTGGCTAGTGTAAGGTTCGTGAGAGCTGTCGTTTCTCATTCCTATATTGTCCCTGCCTTGCAGCTTTGGCTCATCGATGCTGATCTCTACTGATGGCACATGCAGCTGGGACGGTTCGTAGGCATTGCTTATGTGATCACTGGCTACTTCACGATTTGGCACTGACAATGCAATGTCTGGTGTGTGGGAGTGCAAGCCCCCCTCCCTGCCCAGCCCTATTGGTGCAGCGATGGAGACGGCCGGCCTAGGCAACGAGGAGTTGTGCGTGAGATCGTGAGCGGGGGCAAGACCCCTGCCGACACCTGTTGGCTGGTTTCCTAGCGTTGAGCCTGCCTGCCTTCTCATGTCAGGACCTGAAAAGACGAGAACGGAACTGTCGGTGATAATTCACAGATGACGGTACATGTTCCCAGCGGTAGTAGCCGGCAGGTATCCGCAGCAACCATGCATCACAGCATAATATACGCTGTTGCAGTGGTTGCTACCGATCTCACCACGTACAGTTTGGCGCTTGCTTTTAGGTTTTAGAGGTGCCCTTTCAATGTCTCGCCCAAGCCTGAGCGAGATCACAACATCAATTAGCAACTATTTCTGGAAGCGCGCCGGGAGATGCATGAGAGCTGACTGCCGGCATTCTCCCCCACTACTGCCAGAGTTTTACCCTGCGTAACTCGCGCCTGCTCGTTGGCTGAGGAAAACAGTGCCGACTCACACACGCTCGACAGGGTAGATTCTCCGTTCGCTGGTTTGCCATTTTGCGCCACTTGGGGGAAAATAAACATGCAGAAATGTGCTCTCTGTGAAAAAAAATGCTCGCGGCGCTCCAGTTGCGCCGCTTGGTGTCTGAGAGTCGTCTATTTTAAAATATCGGCAGTCGGGGGCTGAGAGCTCAGTTTCAGAGGCGTGAGAGAAAATTGAGAAAGTGGCGATTAATTGCGCATATATAGTTATTCTAGATTTATTATATTATATATATATATATATATATATATATATATATATATATATATAATATACCACATCCAATTCATAATCCAGATTTTAAGCACTCACTTCTATCTGTCCATTCATATGCATTTCAATCTTACCCCCCTGTTTCTCTCTCCACACTCTTTTTCTCTCTCCTCCTCGTCTTTCTCTCCCGCTCTTTCTTTCTCTTGCTCTCCCTCCCCGCCCCCTCTCTCCATAGGACGTGGTTTCTCTCACCGACTGCTATCTCTCTTTCTCTCAAGTTTAAGAATATCTATGTATCAACAAGCACCGTGAGCACACCGAAGCTCATCTGACATACGAGGACTAACGTTAGGTAATGAGCCCCAGCGCGAGACATCTGTATTATTTCACCCTTTTACCGATTCACAAAGCGTTGCCTACAGTCATTCAAAGCAAATCGTTTTTTCGAGCGAGGAATGACGAGCGTCCTTATACTTTCACCCGTCTGCTTTTCCACGGCTGTCAATAAGTAATTACGATGTCGTGACTAGCGACCAACACTTGGTTTCTTTGTTCCGGAACAGTAGGCCTACCTGTGTTATGGCATCACTCTCTCATGCCGGCAGCCGCTCCCGTTATAGTAGTGCATAGTGAATGTGAAGTCACGTGATATTAGCTTATAGTGAATGTGAAGTCACGTGATTAATAGCTAATGGTGGAGGTAAAGTCACGTGATAGTAGCGCATAGTAGGCGCGTTCACACGGACGTTTTTGGCCCGAGCCTAATTAGGCCCGCCCAGATTTGGCCTCGAGCCGAGCGTTCACACCGAGGTTTTTGCGCCGCAGCGGCTAATTAGGCCCGTGCCAGATTTGGTCCAGTCGAAAACGTCGGACCAGCCCGAGCCAAAATTTTAGCACCAGCTCTTCGGCGGCGGCTTAGAGCGGATAGAATCGGTTGCCAGCGGTAGGATGCGCGAGTGTCAACGTGTTTACTTCAACGAGACCATAAAAGTCCAAAACAGTATTAAAATATTTCGAAAAACTGTGCATCAGGATGCACGTTTCAAGATTGGATAATTTATAACTCGTCGAAACGTTCAACGGGTAACACACTCTTAGAAATCGTAAACAACGCCCATCTCGCGACATACTGCAAAGTATCGGTCAGAGACTTTGTTTGCAATAAAATTTAGTTGAATTTTGAATTGTGAATTTGACAGCCAGTCATCACTTGGTATCGTTCAGGCTGAACGCTCCGCACTCAATACCGGCCCGAGCCAAATTGCGCCGGAGCCAGATCTAGCCCGATTTGGCCTCGATACGCCAACCATGGCCCCCGCTGTGACGCGACGTAGTGCAATGTGAAGTCACGTGCATAGTCAGCTAACTGGGGTCGGCCGTGAGTCACGTGGATATTAGCTTCAATACCGGTGCAATGCTTTCGAATCACGGTGATAGGTAGCTAATGGATAAATGTGAACGGCACGTGATAGTAGCCTAGATGGTGAACGGCTAAGTCACCCGTGGATAGCCCTAGCTAATGCGATGAAATGTGAAGTCACGGTGATAGGCTAGCTAATAATGAATGTCTGAGAGTCACGTGAACGTCTAGCCGCATGGCTGACAGGTGAACGTCACGTGATAGCTAGTCACTGATTGGAGTGTGACCTCAGCGTATGTAGCGCATTATAAGGTGAAGTCCATCGTGCCCATAGACGCGTGAGCCTATCGGTAAATGGAAATCACGTGATGCGTAGCGCCATGGTGAAAGGTGCAACGGACAAGCCGTGATAGTAGCGTCAATGGGTGGAGGTGAAGTCACCCCGTGATAGTAGCCTACAACAATACTCCACGACAGATGGCGCCCTCGCGCCTCTGGGCTCTTATCCTTGCACGTGTGGGACGAGGGGGGCGCTGCATGCAGTTTGCAGTAGAGGCTAATAGTGAAGGTGCTGAAGTCAATCGTTTGATAGGATGCTAATCGGTGGGACTGCCGTGGAACAGTCACGGCTGGATAGTAGCTAATGGTGAAGGTGAAGTCACGTGATAGTAGCTAATGGTGAAGGTGAAGTCACGTGATAGTAGCGCAGGATGGAGTATAAAACCGCCTGATATTAGCCCACGGCGTGATGTGACGAGGTATGAGGTATGAGAGCCGGCTAAACTGCCTAATAAGTGATGATAAGTTTGGAGGTCTCACCGTCAACTACGTCACTCAGACGTCAGAATACCATTATCGCAGCTTCCGCGCGTACGGCTATTAGCTGCCCTTTACACTCACAAACGTAATCAGTGCCAAGTCTCGCCGCATCTAACCACTTGGATCGGTTAGATTATTCCCGCAGAGAAAAATAAAGAGCAGGTGATTGGGTTTTTAGCGAACAGACGGCGCTGCATGAAGCGAACGAGGAGATGCCGAAACTCGGTCGGGGTCGGGTCATCTAACGGTCGTGATTGCGCAACCTCGCGGTGGTTCTCTTGCTGGGGGCAACGAACGGGTGCGATTTGTATACTGCGTGTGGAACTAATATGTGGTGCAAATATATTACTATTGCAGGAGCCCTTTTTTCTTTTTCCTATTCTGGGAAGGTGAACGCCAGTGACCATGTAATGTATCTACATTTCTCTAGGTGGGGGTGGGCAACTCTTCTCATCTAGCTACAGCCCTGCTGCATTGCGGTAATTTCCCACAACGACATCGATGCCTGCGCGAATGTATAATTACATCAATAGTATCGGTAATTTTTTTTGTATAGGCCTATTAGGTATATGAATTTTATTCCTACATAACCAGATGGTTTTATGACATCCGAAAGCGAAACATGTAAAAAGGAAGTAGAGGGAAGAGATTTACTTACTTAAATAAGTGCAATTTAGGCACGAGGCAACGATAGTCTTCCTTAATTATAACAGCTATTCATAATTATTTATCGGTTACTAGATCCCACTTTTGCCATCCCGGTTTCTTTATTAGCTAGATATAGCCAGCTTTGGATCTCAACGACAGTTATTAACAAATATGTCAATTCGTCACACATGCACTTAGGTACATACAGCTGCCGTGCACGGAGCAAATATTTGTACGACAACTACAGCGGGGTGTTAGGATAGAGCGCATTTGCACGCGAAGAAAGAACGGATGCCGCGTGAAACGACAAAATAATATGCTGGGGGAATATGCTGCTGCACGCATCTGCTGGATGGATGCATGCGTGGATGCGCTAACGAAACAAGGGTATGCCCTACCGTCACTCATTCGCCTCGACCATAGGCCAGGTTAGACCACTCGCCGCATGCTCCCACTGAGAGCGAGTCACGTCACGTCTAGATTCGATTGCCAAGCATTAACCGGGATCGCCATGCTTCCGAGCTTCGGACGTTCGGAACGAGAACGGTTCGTGCTCGGAGCTTCGCGCTCGGACGTTCGGAATAGGAACGGTTCGTGATCAGAGCTTCGTGCTCGGAGCGGGTGGGATCGCCATGCTTTCGTGTCCGCATCGACATACTTGAGCTGTGCAAGATCCTGACTTGCCACTATAGTAGAACGTCTTAGCGCTTAGGCTGCTTAGGAGTGCTTTGAGAGGTGTTTAATAAAATAAGAGGTGGACTCTGACGAAATCGGCATTTTAAAAAGAGTGGGACAGTTTTTTCAAAATGGCTGCCATACAATTTTGAAACACATTTCTTTGGTAATGTTTCCACCTTTGAGTCTAATGCCCCGTACAGACTGCAAAATTTGATCGTACATCAAACTAGTCTGGGCCAAGCTCGCGCCAGGCGCGCTCTAAATCGCAACGTACAGACACAAAATGTTGAACAGTGCTAAATTAGCACGGGTTGACTGCACATGCTCGGTTGTTACGACACTCAGCAGACAGCTACTGTACTTTTATGTGACATAAATAAGGCTATGCGCATGCGTATTGTAAAATTTAGCTCGCACCTGGCTCCAGATTGCGCACACACACAGTTTAGCGCGTGCTAACTTAGTCAGGGCTAACTTAGTACGCTTCTAAGCGGGCCTGGCCCACCTCCATTTGCGGGGCTAACTTAGTCCGGAATAGCGCGTATTTAGCGCGGGATAGCGTGTACAAACTGCAATTTAGTGCGCGTCAAGCCCGAACTAGTTTGATGTGGGATCAAGTTTGTAGTCTGTACGGGGTGTAAGTAAAATTTGTGGTGATTTTATACCCCGCACAGACTGCAAATTTGATACCACATTATATACACATCATAAATTTGATACGATATTATATACCCAACATGGCCGCCGCAAACGTGGGGACCTAGACGAGACAATAACCGGAACCTTCCGAAACCAGTATCGAAACGTATAGAGTACCGAAGTGTGACGTCACGGTGGCATGAAAACGAACCCACTGGTTCTAAACAACCCACTGGCTCCATAACATTAACTGCGTGAAAATGTTGTGCGTACGTAAAACACGAGTGTGTGCGCTGCAGACAGCAGTAAAGCATCGGTAGCAAGTCGATCTTACAATATTTAATTAATTAATTATTTTATTTAATTATTATTTTTATTTTGTTATTATTATTATAAATTTGTGTGTGTGTTGCTTTTCACTTCCATCCTTTGGAAATCTATAAAAACTGCAATAATGACTCTCAGAATGATGGTTAAAATCGGGTACAAAACACGACACCATTTTCACGCAGTTAATGTTACCAGAGCATATGATTGTTTAGAACCAGTGGGTTCGTTGTCATGCCACCGTGACGTCATCACTTCGGAGCTCTATAGCCCAGTTCTGACGAATTAATCACGTGAGGCCTCTGGAACGCCACTGCCGCTGCCGGCGCTGCAGGTGTTTGCATGCAGGACAGGAGTTTACGAGCGCAAATGTCAACCCGCTGATGGGCGTACTGTTATTGTCGCATGCTCGGATGCTCCTATACTCGGGTCCGCCAGAACGTCGCTGTGCAGTAGCGGGCAGACGGCAGCGGAGCGGCTACTACGTGGTGTATTTATATTTCATTATGAAGGCACACAATGCGAAACATGCTGAAACGGCGATGAATGGTCGCACTTAAGCGAGCTGTGCATGCGGCGGGGGTGGCTATTACGTGCTGCGTGAAGCCCACTGTGTAAACCCGTGTCAAAACATGACAGTGCAAAACCGTGTCAATGTCGGTGCTCGGCAAACCGCAGGCGACAGTGTAACGGGAATCGGTAACCAATCTCTCTCTCTCTCTCTCTCTCTTTCCCTCTCGCTTTTCTCTTCGTCTCTGATTCTCTTTCTTTCTTTCTTTCTTTCTCTCTGATATATATATATAAGAACGATTGGGTTAACCGATGTGTATTTAGTCACAAGAACTAAATATATACATAAGCTACATAAGCTAATCTTGCTTTATATATCTATACTAATGGCGGGAAAGCCGGCAGAAGCAGAGAAGCAGGCTAAAAAAGACTGTCACAGCAAGCCAGAGCCGCCCCGTGGTAATTCCGTTTAGCGCCACACTAGCTGCCAATGGCATGTATATAGCTCGCTACACAAACATCTAGAAACTGACACACTGAGAAACGACGAGCGCCCCTCGCCGCACGTACGCATGCACCTGCCTCGCGCGCGGCCTCCTATTTCCGTTTGTTTGTCGATTTACGCTGTCGCCCACGTACAGCTGCCGAGGCCATGCGGCGTCGCCGCGTGCGCGCGAATTTCAGATATACGTAGTCCGTCCCTTTATTGACCAGTAACGCAGCTGCTGTTCTGCGAAAATATTCTCGATCGTTACTTTCGATGGTTTGCCTCGAAATTTGAGGCAGCGTGCAGGAGAGTGCCTATACGCACGCGCGAGCGATCGTGCACGCGTCTGACGTACACGTGTTCGCGTAAGGAACACGCAGTTCAGTAGGCGACCACTAAATTCCGCCATTTGTTTGAAAAGGTGGCGATTTAGTAGGCGACCAAAGGGTGGCGATTGCGATGATGATGATGGTAAGATCCGTCTATATATTTCCAGGTGATAGAGCAAGAGTTATTACGACCCCCCATAACAGCCGTGTTATCGGGCATTACGCGTGTCTTCGTGCTTACGCTGGAAGACGGGAGTGTATAATTTATTGCAGTTTTTTGCGTTCTCTTCCGGCAGTTTCGCCTTGAACGATCCTTCACGTGAAAACGAATTTCCGTTTTGCGCTATCACTGCTCTTGCGCGCCGTTTATTGTGCAGACAATCACCGCGACCCGACTGTGCGTTTTCTTTGTGTCCGTGTGTGTGTGTGTGTGTGTGTGTGTGTGTGTGTGTGTGTGTGTGTGTGTGTGTAGCTCGCGTGTACTGGTGATCGGTAACCACACGCTCGCGTGTACTGGTGATCGGTAACCACACGCTCGCGTGTACCAGGGTTCGGTAAACTACACGCACCCGTGCACCGATAAATCTTGCGACGAGATATACTAGTACTCTGCATTCCGCTCCGAGTTATAGGCCCACGAACTGCGAATTACTGTGTATTGCAGCGTCCAGTAATGCCGAAAATCTTTTTAATTAACCATTCCTCTTTTCTTTGCAAACGATTGGCGACGCAAACGCTAGGAACTACGCGTTTGATAAGACTTGCTAGAAATTCCATATAAGCCATTCCACATAAACGCCAATTGGGTGATCGCTGGACATATGCGTTTTCACCGCATTCTATGATTGCAACTGCTATACTGCATGTTGACCTGCTGATGATAAAATGCGCGTGTGAGGTCGTGCAACAGGAGGTGCGGTAGCAACAAATTTAAGCAGTACGAACGGTGATAGAAATATATACGACAACGACGTGCAGCGGTATTTCTGGTTGCCTAGGGGTGCAAAATAGCAGAATCGCAGAATCTGCAGATATTCGTACCTGGGATGCCAGGGCAACCGGGCAACGTTTTCTCAATGTATTCAATTGTTGCATATGGTATTGCACCACACAAGCGGTAGCTTGCCCACTGCCTTATCCTATCATAGATCGCTGCTTGCAAGGAAAAATACACTTCACACTAGAATCCTTAGCTCATGTAGTTTGCATTCAACGAAAGAACCTCTCTTACCGGCCAGAAACATAAAGCCCAAATAAAATAAATAATAATAAAAAACTAAAAAAAACACATGAACAGTATAAAAAATTAAATAAATAAAAATATAAAAACACATAGTACAGTGTAACTCGACCGTCAGTCGAGTATTAGGCGTCGGTGAGGGGTGTTGCTGCCACGTTGCGGTAACCTCCCTCCACGCCCGGGGGATAGCATTACCCGTCGGTGAGCAGCCAAGGCACGTCTCTTATATAATGAGACGCCATCTTTTCCCTCGCGAAAACAATCTGCACTGAGCTACGCACAAAAACACGTTTAGACGAGAAGCCCTGCGCAAGTACGGTAACTTAGCTACTACTTCAGAATGCCTAGCGAGCAATTGTGCACAACTAGCTGTCGTGTGTATGGCGAGCGAGGGTATACCTGGTTGATGGAAGTCCGGTGCATACTGCTTAGCGTTAGCTCGCGCTCTTTCGGAATCCTCCTTCGCCCGTTTAGCGTTTGCTTCGGCCTCCTCCACTTTCACTCGCGCTGTCTGCATTCTGAAACAGGAGCGTGATGATTATAGCGCAAGCTGCTCTCCCCCATTGCGCTCGTAATGGAGGCTGCCTGATTACAGGCTGCCGGATAATTCGACTTCATTATCAGCAGAGTAGCGCACGCCTGATGAAGCCAGTCATTAATGACGCTGACCCACAGGTACATGTACCATGTCTATATGTGCAGTGGCGTAGACAGGTCCTCAGTTGTGGGGGGGGGGATGATTTCGCTGTTACTTCCATAGCAGTGTATATGAAGAGTGTGCGCGATAAGCGCACACCGCGAGCGCCTTGGCGCAAAGCCCTTAATGGGTGGGGTCCAGGGCCCGCCCTAGGGCCCCTGGCAGGATGCAGGGGCAGAGTCCCCGGAAGCTCTTAGATTTGAGCAATTTAGAACCTTCAAGATGGCCGTTTTTGAAAGAATTGGGAAAAAATGGATATTGTAAGTGCAATTTTGTGAATTCTAGGGTAATTTTTTTCTTTGGGACCCACAGAGGTTAATAACACTCCCCCTCCACACACAACCAGTTAGGGGACCAGAAGAAATTATAGGCGGGGCGAATCATGCGAGCTGAGAGCACGAAGAGCGCGCGGGGGCGAGGGTGTTGGAGAGGGTGTCCCCTCCCACTGTATGGAATTGTTGAAAAGTTGCAATCTAAAAGCAATCAATTTTAGACATCAGTATCATAGAATATCAGGATTTTTCCTCTTTCAGGCCCTCTTGTTTAGGGGGGGGGAGGGGTCCGGGGATTTTGCTGAAAGTAACACCTCTTCGATGCAATTTCCTGCACTTGAGGCAGCACTATTTAACAATCTCATCACATATAACATCAGTGTTGCAGTTGAATATTTTTATTTTTACCCAATCTGGGGACACCAAAGACCTAAAACGTACTTCCACCAAATCTGTGCCTATGCACATGTCCTCACTTGGTACCAGTGCAGGAACTTACCTAGCTAAAATACCCTTGCCCTGAAAATTCCTGATGGGGGGGGCGACCGGCCCGTCCTACCACCCCCCGTTGACACTGACATACAGCACTGAAATTCATCTCCCCTGAAATTTTGATAAAAACGTATTTTTACTGAGACCGTTAAAACTGCAAAAAATATGGAAAACAACAAGCCGTTATGAACCAAAAGCTGCATATTCACCCCTTATACAAAATCGTGAACCATATACTTCCGGTCGGGTCTCAGCACCCCCATCCCCCCAAAAAATAAGATGAAATAAAACTTCCCCATTCAATCCCCTGTCAAAATTCAATATCCCAACTCTCAATCGGTCTATCTAATTTGAATAAAGCAAAGATTTAACTTCGTGAGCACGCTGAAAACTTTAACCGTATATGGGAATGTCGTCCAAAATTAATGTCATTTTGGAACGAGTTTCAGCCATTTTACAGTAGAATGGTATGTCACGTTCCATTTTCTGTATAATACATAGGAGAGTTATGAATAGCGATGACGGTATTTTGTAGATAAATAATCCAGTATTTACTTGCTCTGTAAAATATTAAATTTTATCGCCCATTTTCTTCTGAAAATAGGGGGCCGAATGAAAGCCCACCCCACCTCAATACGTGGTGGGGGGGGGAATATACCCCATCCCCCGCCCTATCTACGCCCCTGGTCAGATGACACTCAAATTTGACTTTTGATATTGCCCATACAATATTCATAATCATAATCTTTGTTTAGCAGTACTCTACAGGCGCGCCGGAACGATTTTTTTGAAGTGGGGGTGCTCAATTTGTTACGCTCGACAGTGGCAATGCAGGTTTTCGAGGAGGGTGTAAGAAACAGGCGGCGGGTGCGAGCGTCCTCCCCAGAAAATTTTGCCATTCCCAATTTTCCTCTGCAAAGTATGGGGGCGCATGATCTGTACACGCCATCCCCCCACGTCAATAAATGGGGGCAATGATTGTACACGCCATCCCCCCACGTCAATAAATGGGGATGCATCCCCCCATCCCCCCGCCTATCTACGCCCCTGTATGTGTGTGTGTGTGGGTCGTGATGTGGACGTGTGTTGTGTGTGTGTGTGTGTGTGTGTGTGTGTAGTGCTTGTTGTGTGTGTGTGTGTGCTGTGTTGTGTGTGTGTGTGTTGTGTGTGGCGGTGTGTGCCTGGCCTGTGTGTTGTGTGTGCTATGTGTCAGCGGCCGTAAATCGTACCGAGGAGTGGGGGGATGATCGGCCGCGATAGCACAACTAGCTCACGAGGCACAAGCCCACAATAATTTACGCACACAGCGCGCGATCGCGCTCGCCACGAAAATCTTGAAGCATTATTTTCGAATACTGGACAGCTGCAAACTTGTAGTGTTTTATTATAATGAACTCCGAAAGAAGACGGCCACACTTTATCAAGTAGCCTAACATTAGATTGAGTATTTTTTTTTTCGCTCAGAAAGATCGCGAACTCTGTATTTTGAGTCCCATCACTTAGAAAATGATGTATAATGGTACATATGGAGCATAGGAACATCAACCAAAATAATAACAATTATTATGGTGATGACGATGATAATAATGATAACAGTAATTGAAATAATTGAGGGTCTGCCCATCAGGGCATGCATGTACAGGATTTGGACCAGGGGGGGGGTGCTACGAACCAAACTTAACGTAACCAAGCGTGAGACATTTTTGAAATTAGACCCTCGTCAGCATGCTTCGTTGCCGAGCAGACGGGGGATCCGGACCCCCTGGACCCTCCCCCCTGTACACGCCCCTGCCCATGTCTCCAAATTATTTTATTAATAGCCGTCACTGCTGCCGAGTCGGTTTACTTGAATGCCGCTCTGCCATTACCGTTAGTTTTGAACTCCCCTACCATCGCTCTGTTATAATGTATGTTTCTATGCAGCTTTTGTATTGGCTGTCTACGGAAATGGAACAAGCCTAGTACAGACCAGACTCTGTCATGTAAGTGTTGCGTAGCTTTGTCTGCTAAATCAGATTAAACACGTGGCGGCAGAATGGCGTTCAATTGCCATTGCATCCAATAAAACCCAACTTTTACAGAAAGTCAGAAACGAATATACACAGATGTGAGCCTTGGTACTTGTCGTATGATCAGTACGTTGTGTAAAACTCCAGTGTTATCATGGCTTATTGCATGGTCAGCAAGACGACTTTCAAGTGGTCCCGGCAGTAGAAGAGCACGTGACTGCCAGATGCATATAGTCTCTCAAAAAGCATAAGTGCTATGGGGGAGCAGTGGAATCTCACCAATATATCAAGCCTCTTTGCAGCAGCTAGAGAATTGTCTGTTTGACGCAGAAGTGAGCATTTTACGGATTATTAACTTGACACAATGATGCTTTTGAGATGCCGGCAGAATCATGCAAATGAACTCTTTAAGAAAAATGTTTCCGACTACAAATATGGGCAAAAGTCATCGGTTGCAAACATACAAAAACACGTTGAAATTTGTGAAATCTGCAATTCTTACCTGTGTATTTTATATGTATTATTATATAGTAACCTAACTGTGTACGCCTCTTGAAAAGTCATGAAAAGTGTTTGAATGAACTGCGGGTTAGAGTCTAGGGTTGAGATAGCGTTATCAGACATAGAATATGCCCAGTATGCTCAGATTGCAGAAAATGCCTTAAATTTTCAAATTTTCTGGGGCCATTGCCGAACCCGTCTAGCCACTGCATGCCTACGGCCGGGGCGCTCCCCTGCCTGCGCAGACAAGCGTTAATTTCTGCCCCCCCCCATGTCCATAATTTCATTACCGCATTGGGTTCACAGGGTTGGAACCCTGATACTCTAAGATGATCGCTAACATACTGTAACGTGTAGGCTATACAGTTTATACATACATTTAAAAAAACTCACTTCTCATGCAATTATCTGAAATTGAACAATCACTATCTCTTCTTTTTCTTCTTCTTCTTCTTCTTTCTTTTTTTCTCTCTTTTTTTTAATTCGCAGGGGCATATTTGTTACAGCGCCTCCCCCCCTCCCTTCAAGAGCGGTGAGATGCATCCCCCCCATCCCCCGCGAGATTTACGCCCTGGGTGTGTGTGTGTGTGTGTGTGTGTGTGTGTGTGTGTGTGTGTGTGTGTGTGTGTGTGTGTGTGTGTGTGTGTGTGTGTGTGTGTGTGTGTGTGTGTGTGTGTGTGTGTGCGTGTGTGTGTGCGTGTGTGTGTGGGTGTGAACCTGGGGGCGTGTGTGCGTACGTGAATGCGTGGACGTGTGTATTCGTGCGCTCGCGTATCTGTACAGTGTGCCCTTCGCGCGACGTACACCGAATGACAACGCAAATGGCGCGCAGTGAAGCTCTCATCTATTACTGCATGAGCGTGGCATGTGGCGATCCGCGGTAGTTTGCTAATGCCGCCGATAGATGTCATCAAAACTGCTTGAAGAATGAAATCGCGAATTCGTTATAGCTTGCGTTGCATCGACATGGCTACGCTCCTCAGAGATGGAGTGATCCGAACCTGGTCAGGGATGGAATGATCCGAATCCGGTCAGAGACGGAATGACCTGAATCCGGTCAGAGACGCAATGACCCGAGTCCGGTCAGAGGCGGAATGACCTGAACCAGAGGCGAAATGACCCGAATCCGGTCAGAGACGCAATGACTCGAATCCGGTCAGAGACGGAATGACATGAATCCGGTACTCCTGTCTTGCCTGAATGTATCACCTGATCCGCTGCCGATTAGTCAGGTGTGGCGCGAACATCGACAATTAAAGCAGACGAAAGCAGGTGAAAAACTCGCCAGATGACTGCAGACTTTATTTGTGCACTGAAATAACCTACAGCCTGGCGCACATTGCCGAACATTTTCCCGAACAAATGTTCGCCCGAACAAATGTTTTTGTCTGTAATTGTGCGGGTAAACAATTGCTGAGCGCACATTGCCGAATATTTTGCAGCGAACAACCTCGTGGCGCCGTCTAGTAGCTGTGTTGTAAAGAGTCACGTGATCGGCGCATAATTGGGCACAAAAATCATGTGACCACATATCGTGCTGCTATTGG